AGCAATGCGCTTCAATGAGGCGCCGCCTGGACACTTGCTCAAGCCCAGGCGTCGGGCACTTCAGGCGAGCGCCTGGTTGATATAAGGTGACCGAACCAAACTTTTTAAGTCTGATTCGGTTAAATTTACATTAGTTGAACCAAGTAACGCATGCAATTATATCAAAACTTGCACGCGACCCCGACTCCCAACCCTACGCTTTCTCCCTCTGCGTTCGAAGCCAACGATTTCTCCCTCTGTGTTAGCCGCCAACGATTTCTCCTATTGCCTCCGAGTCTTCCTCTGTCACAGATCAAGTCTCGCTGTCTGCCATTGTTGTCTGCTATCGCTGTTGCTGTCCACAATGCGACTCCGCTGCCTCCTGCTGTCCACGACTCCACTACCGTTGTTGTTGCTGTCCACTACCTCCTGCTGTCCGCGACTCTACAACTTCCACTGCTATCTGTCTGCCAGTAAATATACTATTAATAGTAGATTATTAATTACTATACAATATAATCTTTGCTTACTAGATTAATAATATTATATATTTTTATATTTTAATAGTTTAGAGGGACTTGCTTTGCTCGTCTCGGGTGTTTTGGGACTTTAGCACCTTTTGACACCTAGCGCTTCTTAAATCGTTGCTTAAAACAAGGAGCCCTTTTTCTTGATATTAGTTTCCTTGTTGTACTAAATCACAACTACTTTGATCTTCGTCTTGTTGCAGTTCTTTCTAGTATAAGCATCCAAAAGCACATAGCTAAACAGCAGCACAGAAGTAAAAGCCCAAGCAATTGCTTACCCCTGAACCTGGCGATCCAATGGTGCATCAGGATGCAAGCTTGCTGTGTGTATTCCTAGGGCCTTGAGTGGTTTGCACACTGACCTTACCTGAACATAAATACAAGTCAAAGGCACAAGCAAATCAGGCTGTGGCAATAACCAGAGTGCCGTGATTTATAGACAGCAATAATTGGTAGAGTTATCGAAACAAAAGGCAGCAGATAAAGACCTGGGCAGCCTTCTCCCGCGTTGGCACAAGGAAAAGAAGGGACTGGGAACGACATGCCCCTGCATCTCCTTCCTCGTAATGATATCAGAAGCTGTAGACACCAACCAAGCGACCTGCTCTGTGGTAGGGCAAGACCCACTGGTGTCGATGATGTGCGAGCCGGAAGAACAACACTTCCAGAAATCAACACCCCAGTGGCAGGCGAAAAGAGAAACATCCAAGCTACCATCAGGCGCTGCTTGTCGATCCTTCCACGCGTCATCTATGGCGTTCAAGCACAGCATAATGAACTTGGTAGACCAACCATAGTCCGAGTCGCAGTCGCTGCCGACGCCACCACCTTCGCTGGCACGCTGCTCCGCTCTCACAGCAACATCACACCTTTGATTCTTGCTCTCCTCGGTGGCGGAGAGGGGAGGAGGTGACACACTATTGCTGGGTTTCTGCTTCGTCTCCATCCCGTGGCGATCATTGAAGGGGTCGTCAGGCGTCGGGAGGCTAAAGCACATCCCCTGCACGAAACACATGATGTGAGAAGCAGGACACCAGAGAAAGGCCGATTGCGATCGAACTGGGGTCGCATCCAAGAGAAGCGAGCGTATGTTAATCAGAAGGACCTCGCAGATGCGGCGATTCCCGGTCTTGCGGCGGCGCTTGGCGGCGACGCGGGCGGGCACGGCGGATTCCTTGTTCCGCATCCGCTTGCGGCCGGTCTTGTTCTTCCTCCGCCTCACCGCGTCGTCTCCCTTCGCCATGACAAGCGATGCGCCTCCGCCCAAAATTGAACCGAGAGCGCAACGCAAAGGAAACCGCTTCGGCGAGTACGCAAACGAGGAAAGAAACCGACGCAGCGGAGGGCATATATATAGGTGCTCCGGACCCGTAAAACCTCGATCGACAGCTTGCGTTCCCAGGCTTGATCGGCAGCCCAAATGCCAATACTGGGCCGACACGAATGCGCCCGTCTTCGTTCCAGAAACAAGGGGCGGATCACGTCACGTGGAATGCACGTGTAGTAGAGGTTTCCGTTCCAATTATTCTACTGGATGATGCTGTGGTGTGACCCCAACATGACTCAATAACGAACGATACAGTAGTTTAGCAACTGAAAAGGCAGAATAAGTCATAAAGCAACCATTTTTCTCGTGCGTGGGTTTTAATTTTAGTGATACTTGCGATTCAAACAACATTCGAGATGACATTTGCCTTTGTTAGAGTACACCAATGTTAAACATAGTTATAACTCTTACAGATTATATTTACCTTTTATTCCAGTTTAGAGTTGATTTCATGGCTTACAGAAAATAGTTTGTCCGACAAATCATTCCTTTTCCTTTACTTTCGGCTGACGAGGAAACGAAAAGAGTACTCGGACAAACCCAAACCCTTGCTACATAACACACTGATTTTTTGTGGCTCAGTAAACTCGGACAGCAAAGGAAGAAAAAGAAGAAGAAGAAGATTAAAGAGCGGATGGATCATGGCTCGGCTGGAGAGGCGGGAGAACCTCAATCCTAGAAACTCCAAGGAGAGGCGGGAGAACCTCAATCCTAGAGACTCCTTCCTTGGCTTCCGCCCTTGTCCACCAGCTTCTTCTCTATGTAGCGCACGGCGTCCGAGCGGCGGGTCTTGGGCACCTCCACCCTCTCCACCTTCTTCCTGCCTTCCTCGTCCCCGCTTACCGCCCGTATCTCCATCTCGCCGTCTCTGTCACGACGTTCGTGTGCAGCGCGCTGCAGCCCTCGATGGTTGTGGTGGGGGTGATGCATGGATAGGTCTTATCGGCGGCAACCGAGGAAGAAGGCGACGGGTACTTGGTAAACAGCTCTGGAAAAGGACTGAAGGTTGTGGAACGCTTGCCACGTCGTGGCATCAAACGCAACACTCCAACGCTACCGCTAGGAGAGTTTAACTATTAGTATTGATTGATTTGAATTCTGACAGGGGAAAACACTATATCTGGACAACTAGACGCTACATATATGAGCATTTACAAAGATTTCAAACACGAAGAGATTCTCATTTCTCTGAAAGCATCGTGGCCGTTCAAACGGAGTGGGTCCCTTGTGAGCAGAACACGATTTTACTGAGACGTACATGAACCAAGAAGCTAAATCAGAGAACATAATCTTTACATATATAATGATAAGAAAAAAGAAGATATAATTTTACAGAGGCATACCTAAGAGTGTCCCCCCCGAACAGCCTAACAGAGGAAACGAGAATATTATGAAAGGTAGCTCAAGCACGTGAGAACATCTCACATCTCGTTTGCAGAATTTCAAGTAAAAAGCATCTTTAGTTCTTCGATTCGTGCAGTGCGAAGTTCATGGTCTGTTAGGGCTCCAGATATCATCCTCTGCTTTCGAGCCTGTACCATTTCCATTCTTTCTTCCACGGTTCCCTATAAAATAGAAGACAACGAGAAACATTACCACATGAATTCGGGAGCACAAACGAAAGACCTCTTTTATTACCAATATTGGATGATAAAATATACAATGGTTCTTAACAATCTGTATGTTGTAAATAGCTTATGCTCACTGCAATAACAACAGGTCATGATGATGCAAATACAAATGATCACAACATAATAATGCCACGATGCATGGTACATGGTACATGCTAATCTTATCAGACAGGAAGTTTGGAAAGGCTGTTAGAGTTCACATAACAAACAACTTAAGTAAAAGAGCTTTGTATTTTTCCAATAACTAACACCAATAGTGAAACAGAATGATTGAACGTTCGTTGCTACCTTTACAATGAATCTTTTGATGGCTACACTTTTGGTTTGACCAATGCGATGTATTCGCATCACAGCCTGTTCTTCAACAGCTGGGTTCCACCAGGGATCCTAAGGGAAAAAGATTAGGAGGTCATGTCAAACTCACCAAAAAACATAGCAAGCATATTAAATAAATTTAGAAAAGTTTATCATCTTCTGATACCATGCCTAGCTAGCTTTAAGCAAACCTTTCTAGTACTGTAGGAATACAGAAAAAAAAAAGCATCTCAATCATTTCGTTTATGATAGGACACGATGAGTCACTGTGTTGGCATACTTCAAATCAAAATTAAAAGTCTCACTTTGGTGAAGTGAGATACTAACTTGAAGCCTTTTTTTACCGATTTTCTGTGTCTCAACTTTGATGAGAAAACAAATCATTTTATCCTAGAATTATAATTAAATTTATCTTCGATAAACAGAAACAAATATCTCTATTGACAGCAATGAAAAATACATTATCATCGACATATCTTAAGTCTAACAGAAGCATAATGACAGTTTTTATGTTCTGTGACTTTCTGATGACTGATTATCTAAAA